GCTGACCCCACACCTTGTCAGATTTTTAAGATTTTGCAAGGTCTTCTCGTGAACTAACACTTAAGCAACAGTAGTCTAAAGTCGAGTGTGTATAGGGATCGGACACGTCGGGGGGTACCCCTCCGTCCCATAATTATTTTGCTAGGTATAAGTGTAGTGTAATTTCCGGTGACGAGAGAAAGTGAGGCGGTGAGACCCAATTTTGGGGTTCCTGTGTCACTCTCAAATTTTGGTTTATTGGAGATCTCCACTTTGCTCATGAAAAGACCTGCCAATACAAAATTATTAATTTAAACAAACATGAATCGTTGGTTCTTTAAATGAAATTAAATTAAATACCAATTTCCATGATCAATGAAGAGTATTGCTGGTGCTACATGTAACTTACGATGTAAGATGTATATGTTGCGGATTTTCAAGGTCATGCAAAATATATTGTACATGTACAATAACAAAGGTGGAGGTACACGTGCGTGCACACCACATTGCAAATTTGACATTCAACTTGCACCCTGCTACATACAGCCACTTTTATGACCTTACATTAGCTATTATATAAATCGCTATATACATGTAACTCACCAGTCGATGGAGCCAATCTGCCCCTAGTCTAGGGCCCCCAACCCTGCTGGTACAATTCAGCAAATCCACAGGACCATTCCAGGCCCTGAACCTGACGACTACAAAGTAGTCTAGAAGTTTTGGAAAAGACCCAAAGTTGTGGCGCGAACGACCAATTTACTCGTATATTCATGGGCACCGGAGCTTAACTGATTGCAACTTAATCTCTCTATTAATCGATCTGGACTATTAAATATCTACCCATTTGCATTTATCTATAACTCACATAATCAAGACATTAACATTTTATAAATGAATGCATTATTAAACCTGGCACTATCTCTCGTGCCCGCATAGCATGTCCTAAACACCAAGATTACTACGCGGCAACGCACCGAGCGATTCATGGACAACATGAATAGCGCCCTCATTTGACTACAGCACTTAACAATTAGCACATTAGCACAAACACCACATAAATATAGCACAGAAACAAAACAAATATTTCCCCCTTGCAAAATGTGAAATCAGGCATGGTGTAACAAGTCCTCGCGTTGCACTGTCGGGGTATCATTAAAGTCTCTATCATTCAAGTTTCTGCTGGCTCAGCCTCTAGCTGTTACAACCAGGCATCCCCTCAATATCATAATTATCCCTTACCATTTATCCACTGTTAGCAAAGCGGAAATCGAATTTCCCAATGTAAATGAGAAACTTGTAACAATCATGACCTGCAGTACGAGAAATAATTGACTGAACCACACAAGAGATTAATTTTATCAGTTGCCAGAATAGTTAAATAAAGGTTTTAAAAAAAAATAAATAAAATGGCACTTTTAAAATACAAGAAATACAAACTAATTATATAATAAAACAGGACAGGTCTAAGTGTTAAATATGCGTCCTAAGCATGTAACATAGATTTCGACAATTACAATGCAGAAAATCAGAAATCAACTTAAAGCTCAGAAATATAAAGCGGTGAATGGCACTAATTCTGATTTTTCCCCATGAAACAAAAGCAAGACAGCAGCCAAGCAAACATGTACCAAAATGGTTTCATTTACATCATGCACTATTTGAAATCAAATAAACTTATTTTATACGTCAAAAACGGGAGAAAAAACGACATTCTGACCTGTGATTGGGGATTTCTTTAAACAAAAGCATCCTCGTTTCTTCAAAATCATCCCTTCATTGCTGTTCAGCGCAGAATTTCATTGACCGAAAACAATATTGAAAATAATGAATTGACATTTTTAAAATACATGAAATACATCGACTGATTAAAACAGGATAGGTCTAAGTGTTACATACATGTCCCAAGCATATAGCACAATGCAGAAAATCAGAAATCAACTTAATTAAAGCTGAGAAATATAAAGGGGATAATGACGTTAATACTGGTTTTTTTTTTCAGGTAAATGATATAAAGAATACCGTATCATTAATTGAATTACACAGGACTGACACAAATTCTCATTGAAGAGCCGACTAATATAAAGAACTTTCAACGCCTTTCTGGTAGGACTCCTTTGCCTCTTAATGTCGGTCACTGTACCTCAGAATTTGTTCTCGGAGCGTTTGGAGACTGGGTCTATTTGCGCCGTCCTGACATTTTTCGCTGTTCGTGCAGTTCTGGAGAGCCTTCTGGATGTATGCCTTGGATTCTTCTTCTTGGGTGGTGCTTTTTGCCAAATACAAATACACCTTTGCCAGCATTTCAAAATCCCATGGAGAAACATGTTCCTTCAAGATGTGCTCAAGGTCAGCTTGCGCACTATGCAGGAGATCAACGTTATTGCTGCTTTCGTACTCCTCTAAGTAGATATTTGCCCGCGTGGAGTAGGCATGAAAATTGATCTTGGAACTGTCGAGTTCGATGGACCTTTCTAGCAAATGTATGGCCTCTTGAAAGCCATTTCTGGGGTCAGCTTGATAACAAAAATACGCTTTACGAGCTTGAATGCGCGCCTCCATAAAATTATCTGGGGACACCTGAAGTGCGTTATCCAGACATGCCTGTGGAGTTAGATTTTCGAGCGTTATTGTTGGCCGCAATATGTGAGACTTGAGTGCTTTGTTGACAGTCAGGGCTAACTCAAACCATGCATCGCACTTCATTGCGTTATCCGCTTGTGCGCTGGTCAGTATGGCTCGGAAGTTTTTGACAGCTGAGTCCAACGCTGCCTTCATTGCCTCAGCCGACATAGTCGCCGGGATGCTGAACATTTTAAAGTTGGCTAGTCCAATACCAAAGTGCCAATCTTCTTTCTCTTTGTGATCCACCAAATTACCCGCCAACTCCATGGCTTTCACGTAGAGATCGCGTGCCTGCCTGTATCGCTGGTGTGTAACCGTCTCATCGTAGAGC